TCTCTGCCCCTCCCCACCTCTCAAAATAAATAAATAAACTTTAATGGATATGTGAGGAGATTCAGAATCTTTACTAAAAAATTCTGGTGAATAAAAACTAGTTGACCATCGTAGCATAAGCAGTTTTTATATTGGAGATTGCAGTATTCCCATGGCAATTGGAAAGCCTCTTGCTAATCAGACTTAAATGAAAAAAAAAAAAGTTTCCTTTCTCTCTACTCACGACACTCTGACACCAAATGAATGGGGCTTTTTCTCAAACCAAGCAGTTCTCCGACTCTGGATGCCACCTGGGTGTCCTACAATTCAGTTCAGTTCTAACCTTAACTACCCAGAGCTAGTGCAGACCCTACAGGTTAAGGTCTCAGACCCAAAAGACTGTCCCCCACCAGTCCCCCAGCTTCAGACACAACTCCCATGGTGTCGCCTGTGCTTCTGGCAACTGGCTATGGATCAGGGGTGTCTACAATCCCTTCTCGGGTTCAGTAATTTGCTATAATGGCTCACAGAACTCAGGGAAACATTTATTTACATTGGCCAGTTTATCCTAAGGGATATCATAAAGGATACAGAGGAACTGCCAGATGAAGAGGTGTACAGATGAGGTCTGGAAGGGTCCTGAGCATGGCTGACAGCTTCTGTCCCCGTGGAGTTGAGCCGTGCCACCCTCCTGGCACGTAGATGCGTACACTATACGCATATGGAAACTCCCCAAACCCTGTACTTTTGGAATTTTCACGGAGGCTTCACCATGTAGGCATGATTGATTATGAACTTAATATCTAGCCCCTCTCCTCTCCCTAGAGGATGGAGAGGTGGGGCTGAAAGTTCCAAGTTTCTAATTACAGCTTGGTCTTTCTGGTGACCAACCCCCATCCAGGAGCCCACCCAGACTCGCGTCATTAGAACAAAAGATGCTCCTACCACCCAGGAAATTATAAGGGATTTAGGAGCTCTGTGTCAGGAACCAGGAGCAGAAATCAAGTATGTATTTCTTATTATGTCACAATACTAAAAATCCGTATTGTTGACTGATTTGAAATCAGAATAGCAAGAATGCAGAGTCCCCAAAAATTGGAGTGGGCATTTTGATTTAAATGTCAGAATTCCCTTATGTCCATTTTTATTCCTGCAGTATTTTCTTCACTGAGCCTGGGCCTGCTTCCAGAACGATCTGCGACTCTAATGGTGTATGAAGATGTTGTCCAAATAGTCTCAGGATTCCAAGGTATGTTGAATATTGAAAAAGAAAAGTGACTAACTTTTGGGCCAGCCACTAAAATCCTGTTATAAGACAGCTTCTTTTCAGATGGTGATGGCAGTAAATTTACCCAGAGCTGGATACTATGCATGTTGTCCTATGAGTGCACAAACACACACTTGAATTTCGGTTAAACTCTCCCCTGGCTGTGATCCTGTTTGTTTTAAGGCCAGCCTTTAACTGGGTGAGAGAAAAGAGAGGGCTTCACCACTCTGTCCATACCACATCTCTCTTTCTTCTCCAAAGCTGAGAATATTCACCTCATGAGTTCAGAGCGCGGGACCCCGTCTGAGCGTCACTGAGCAAAGGTTCATAAATATTCAAGGAGGTAGAGTTTCAGTCTTGCGCAGTGAAAAGGATCTGGAGATCTGTTGCACAATAATGTACTTCACACTCTCAAACTTAAAAATGGATAAGATGGTAAATTAAATAGTATGTGCTTTTTAACACAATAAAACAAAATCCCCCCCCCCCTCAAAAAACAAAGGAAGAAGTGTTCATAGCCTTCAAGAGTGGCATTTTTCTCTGTCTTGTCCCTCCTTGTCTTAACCCCTCTGGTATGTGGTTGTGCATCAGAGTGTGCCCTTATACCTTCTAACTTCTCTTGCAGAGAAACTAGTATGGAAGACTTGAGAGGGATTTCCCTGAGTTGGTGGTGGGGTTAGAATTGGAAAGAACGCTGATGTCCAACGTATTTGTGCCAAAGTCAGTTTCTTTCTCTAAAGCATGGGCTAGAGAGCGCTATTTCCTGGCTCTCAACGTTCCATCGGATTAATTTTTTTGTTTACTTCATTTTAATACCATTTGACACAAATCATTCTCTACCTCACCACATTCCGGTGCCATTTGCAAATGAGGTGACCCCATTTATTCCTTTTTTGAGTGGCTGTGGAGACCCTGCAGAAGTGATCATGCAGCCGTTATAATCAACATATAACACTGTATTCCTTTTAGGCATACAGCGTAATAATTCGAATTATGTGTATATTGCAAAATGATCGACACTGTAAGCCTAGTTAACACCCGTCACCACGTGTAGCTACAAATCTTTTTTTCTTGTGACGAGAACTTTTAAGATCTACCCTCTCAGTAACTTTCAAATATACACTACAGTGTTATTAACTATAGTGACCATGCGGTACATGACATCCCCAGGACTTATTTATCTTATAACTGGAAATTTGTACCTCTTGAGACCCTTCACCCATTTTCCCCTAACATCCCACCTCCGGCAGCCACCGATCTGTTCTGTTTCTATGAGTTCGGCTTTTTTAGATTCCACGTAGAAGGGAGACCATGCAGTGTCTGTGCTTCTCTGTCTGGCTTGTGTCACTTTGCATAATGCCCTCCAGGTTCAACCATGTTGTCACAAATGGCAGAATTTCCTTCTTTTTTCTGACTGAATAATATTCCACTGTAGATCACTTTTCTGCATCCATTTATCCACTGATGGACACTTAGGTTGCTTCCACACCTTGGCTCTTGTAAATGATGCTGCAGTGAACATGGGGGGGGTGGGTGGTGACTAGGGTTTTCTCGAAATGAGGGAATGATTATGCTTCCTTCTCATGTTCTTCACTAAGAAAGGAATCGTTAGTGTCCTGCTCTCATTTCGACTGGACTACATTCTGATAAAGACTGAAATGATCTTTATCACAATTTTGGTCTTCATCAGAATGCAGCCCAGTGGAAGATGATAGCAAGAGGTGAAAGCTTGTAATTAATGTCCTGGGTACAGACAGGCTGTGATCACCCATTTACGTCAAGATTACGTCTGTTGATTAGGATGTTCTGAGTATAATTTAGAGCTGACTTCAGCTCTTCAAATATCAAATGGAAACTACGAAGCACCTGAACCAGGCTTCCTGAAGCCTTGGAGTTTGGTACCCACTCTGCATTTCCAGAGGACGGGCACACACTTTGCGTTTCCTCAGACCCAGCCCGGTTGGGACCCCGCTTCTTCTAATCGGGGCTGTTTTTGCTGTGCCATGTGCCCCTGTGGCAGGGGACTGGCACAGAGCAATTAAATGCTGTCACGGCAGCTGTATATTGTTTTCTTTTTAGATATGCCTTAAGACCCATCTTTTCACAGAGAGGGAGACAAACCATAAGAGAGTCTTTTTCATTTTTATTGATTTTTGAGAAAGAGAGAGAGAGACAGAGCATGAGCCAGGGAGGGGCAGAGAGAGAGAGAGATGGAATCCAAAGCAGGCTCCAGGCTCTGAGCTGTCAGCACAGAGCCCAACGCGGGGCTCAAACTCACGAACTGTGAGATCATGACCTGAGCCGAAGTCGGATGCTTAACCAGCTGAGCCCCCAGGCACCCCAAGAGACTCTTGAATATAGAGAACAAACTGAGGGTTGCTGGAGGGGAGGTTGGTGGGGGGATGGCTAAATGGGTGATGGACATTGAGGACACTTGTTGGGATGAGCATTGGGTAAGTGATGTGGTGAATCACTAAATTGTACTCCCAAAACCAGTATTATGCTATAGAACTCACTTGGATTTAAATAAATCTGAAAAAGACCCATTTTTATCTTTCGCAGCCTTGCGTGTTTTGATTTTTTAATTTAAAAAACTGACCACCGGGGCACCTGGGTGGCTCAGTTGGTTAAGTGTCAGACCCTTGATTTCGGCTCAGGTCATGATCTCACTGTTGGTGAATTTAAGGCCCGTGTCAGGCTCTGCTCTAACAGTGCAGAGCCTGCCTTAGATTCTCTCTCCCTCTCTCTGCCCCTCCCCTGCTCTCATGCTCTCTCTCAAAATAAATACACTTAAAAAAAAAAAAGTTTAACTTATAGGGATCTTTGGTAGTAGCTAATGGATTATGGTGTTCCTCAAGAAAATATATTTGGACACTCTGCACTCTAAAAAAAAAAACACAACTGACCCATGTCATATTTTACACGTTGTTCTAAAGGCCACAGCCACCATAATTTTCATCACCTGCTCTTTCTCTTAATTGGCCCCTCCCCTACCTTTTCCTCAGAGTTAGTCTTCATTTCCTCTCTTACTAGCTGTACTCATTCTTTGTTCCACTTTTCTTCTGCTTCCGGTGAATTGCTCATCCTTTTCCTGAGATGTTGGTCCACAACACACCCTTTGCTAGAAAGTTCTCAAGTAGCCAGGCTGCTGGACTTCTGCGGTGTGGACCTGCCAGTGGGCTTTGAGAGATGGAGAGGAGAGGCACCTAGGTGGCTCAGTCGGTTAAGCGTCCGACTTTTGATTTCAGCTCAGGTCATGATCTCACAGTTTGTGAGTTTGAGCCCTGCATCGGGCTCTGTGCTGACAGCACTGAGCCTGCTTGTGATTCTCTCTCTCTCTCTCTCTCTCTCTCTCTCTCTCTCTCTCTCTCCTCTCTCTCTCTCTCTGCCCCTCCCTGCTTGCGCTTCCTCACTCTCAAAATAAGTAAATAAAATAAAAGTAAACGGTAAATAAATAAATGGAGAAGAGCCAGGCTGCGGGGTACAGACCAGAAAGGGACCTTGTCCAATAGAGCCCAACTCCCTACTGCCTTCCCCAGCCCTCACCCTGTGTCCTCTGGGCACCAGTATGGCTGCAGAGAACAGCCTTCTACCTCTTCTCCGAGCACTGCCCCCCTTCCTGGTCTGAAATGTCCCTGAGACACAGCCTTCCCTGCAGCCTTCTCAGGTGGGGGCTGTGCTCACATTACTTGTCTCCTTTCTCCTTCCTTCCTTCCTTGAGGATCCTTGGAGGCCAGCTGGACCACTCCACCAGTGTCTGGGTCAGCTTTTCCTCCTGGACTGATGATACGAGCTCCTAGTTCCCAGGTTCACGATGCTCCTAGAATTGTTTCTTGGGAATGTGAGCCTCCATATGGAGGATGCCCCCTGGTCCCAGCTGCTCGTCCACCCCAGGGGTGCCCCCCTCTACCCTGCCTCCCTCTAGAGGATGCCCCCTGGTGCCCCAGCTGCTCTTGCACTCCCAGGGTCTTTTCTGTCCCACATCGGTCACCCACTTCTGCAGTCCTGCCTTAGGCCTCATCATTCCAGCAAATCAAATGCACCACCTCCGAACTCAGCCCCTGCACTCCCTCCTCTCACCCTGTGGCAGTGGTTCGCACACCACTGAGAGCTCCAGAGCCCTGACTCACCGTGTCCTTACCCACGGATTGCCTCCCTGCCCAGCCTACGAACCATGGCCCTTCGTTGGAATCGTCTCCTTGCAGACACTCCCTGCAGAGCTGCTCCCCTCCCCTTCTGCCATCTTTGACCGAATAACTCCTGACTCCGGTTGACCTGAGCCGCTTGTGGCCACCCCACAGCTGCACGTGGCTGGAGGAAGCCTCACCGGTGGTTGCCCCGACTGGTTGCACGTTCGTTTCACGACCACAGACCTCAAATGGGCATCGGTCCTGGGGCCACTTAGTCGTTTGTTTCGTGAGTCTCCAAGATGATTTTCACACCCTCTTCCCCACCTGCTGGCTTCCTGTGTGTTCACTCACACTCCCATCCTCTATCTCCTCTCCTCACATCTCTGCCTACTTCACTGAGAAGCTGAGAACCCTCACCGCCACCCCCCCCCGGCCCCCAGCAAACCCACAGACCTGCTCATTGTCCCTCGTTGCACTGGAAGGAGTGTCCCTCTTCCCTTACGTGTGAGTCCTTCTGTTTGTGCTCAGCATCTCATCTCCTCTCTTCCTTAGGGATTCCAGAAGTTTTTCCTCACCATTTTCTCCTCATCGGTAGCGGGCAGATGTTAAAATAATGCATCTCTAATGCTTCCACAACCGTGTCTGTCTCTGGCCACCGCCCTGGGTCTCTGCTGTCTTCCAGAAGGACGTCTGCACGCCCTTCCTTCCTGCTTCCTCGCCTTTCTTTCCCTGTTCAGCACCCTGCAAGTGGCTCTCCTGCCTCGTTGCTCCATTCAGACTGCTTTGTCAGAGTCTCTTACAAGCCCTGCGTGGCCGGGCCTGAGGACATTTCTCTGTGCCTTCCCCTGGACT